CAAGCTTAATTTTTAATCAAATTTGGGATCACAAATGAATCTGATAATGAACATATCATTATCCATTATTAATTATTCTGTTTCCTTCAGCGAGCTTCAGTGAGTTCAAGTAGCTCTCCTCCTCTCTACTTTATCCTTAAAGTGAGGTAGGTCAGACAGAGAAAGAGAGAGCCTGGCATTAGGTCATCCAGGGAGTTCCATCGCTCAATGGAGACTTAAATCTACATCTCTGAAGTCTCTGGTCTAGTGTCCTTAGATATATACCATACTGGCTCTCTTAACGGTCACAATAGCTATCTCACTGGCTTTCTACTGGTGATTGACAGCTTTAGCCACTGTGGATTTATCTGCAACTTTGGTGACGAAAAAGCTACATCTTCTAGCAACAAAGTTTAACTGTGCACTGAGTTAAAAAGTGCTTTCTTTTATCTGCCTTTAATCTTTCCCAATTCAGCTGCAGCAGATACTCCTATGTTCTAGTTTTGTAACTACAATTTACTTCCTCCTTACCATGCATAGAATTATATACCATCATCATGTATTTCTCTCCCCTTACTTTCCCCTAAACACAAATATTGTGGACTTTCCAAAGCGTGAGCCGATCCAGTCCCCTGCTCTTTTTATTTGGCTTTTTCTGCATCTTCTCTGGTTAACCACTGGGAAAGACAAGAAGCAGGACAAGGGGAAACTGAGGTTGCACCCTCTAGAGTTTTTCCGTTGGCCAGAACCTGCCCCGCCTGCCCCTACTACTAGCAGACTGAGGCAATGAATTTTGAATGATTTAAGAGGAGAATTTTAAAAATTACTTTCTTTTTTAAAGTCAACTTTCGGAAGAGTTACCTTTTTGGACTATACCTCCCAGAATATACCAGCTAACTGCTGGCCACATTGACTAGGGTATTCTAAGAGTCGTCATTCCATTCCCAAGTAACTTTTCCAAGTTCTCATTTTACTTCCAGGAGGTGAAAGAGGGAATTCTGAGATGCTTCTGCCTCAGAGATCATAATAACTTGAATGGTTTCTGGTACCATGTGCTTGTGTTGTGAGAGAAACATTTGCAGCTGTCTCAGGCAGCAAAATTCCTTGGACTTACCCTGCTGATGGCTGCATGTTTGCACCAAAGTAAATTTTCAGTGAGATTTTCACTGTAGTAAGAGTGCTTAAGATGCTGATTGTGGTGCGGTTGATGGAGTGACAGATGAAGACTCAGGAATTTTGAGTTCAAATCCCTGCTCAGCCATTTCTCACCTGAAGACAAAGAAATTGTTAGGGCTGTTTTTCAGCAAATGGATTCGATAGTGAGCAAAAGAGGGTGTCCTGTTAGACCATCTTGATAGCTGACATTGGTGTTTTCAAGATTCAGGCTGCCTTTTGCTATGCAAAGCTTGGCATCTTTTTTTCCTGCATAGGGATGATATTCTGCAGCAATATCAGGCCATTTCTTGGCTTGTTGAATGGTGGGTACAGGAGCATAATATCCCGCATTCATAAACCAGAGAGCTTAAAAAAAAAAGAATGGAATTTTCTGGCTTTTTAAAGTGGGAGTTTAAATATGTCCACACTAAACACAGATTCCAACAGAAACTTCCCTCCTGTAGAATTATCCAGTGCAAGAGGATTCCAGAAGATGAGCTCATGAGCTGTACTATGGTTACTGGGAGAAGACAGAAGTGAGAACAGCTTGTGGCTCTAATCCCTCTCTGCCAAAATATTTTGAAGGTCTGTGTTGGACATAATGAAATGGTGAAGCAAAGGTGTGTAGGTACAGTATGTGCAATGCAGAAACATAACACACCCTTTAACTTCTTGGGTAACCTAATGTTGCCATGCCCATTCTGCAGAATGCAGACTAGAAAGCTATGTTCCAATTTCCAAACCCTTTCCTTGAGTTAGGTAAGCTAAAGAAGAAAAGCTTTGTCCGACCAAAAAGCTCTACAGACATATTGTTTGAATGTCTTCCAAAATATATCTCTTTGCGTGTTAAAATAATAAAAGAATGACACTGAAGAAAGAGAGGAACAAAAAAAAAACTCACTTGAAACGTGGTGTTGGAAGAGAACCATACAGACATGAAAGACAGCCAGAAAAGCAGAAAAGTGGGTGCTCAATCAAGTCAAGCCTGAACTCTCACTAGAGCAAAAATGAGTCAACTGAACCGATCATACCATATAATAGAAATACAGAAGTGACCAGAATGGATTATATTGCTGGGAAAAGTGGGGTGAAGCATTTAAAAAGTAGAAGACCTAACATGAGATGGGTTGACTCAATAAAAGAAGTCAAGACTGAACATACTGGAAAAGGCAATATTGCTAGAAAGGGGAGACAGTAGGAAGAGAGAACAACCTAACGTGATATGTTATTGGTTTGAAAGATCTGACCAGAGCTGTTAATGATAGGGCATTTTGGAAGTGAATAACTCCTATAGTCACCACGCATCAGGAGTGACTTGATGGCACATAGCACCTTTGGATTTTCTTAATAAGCAAACAATTTTATAATGACAAGACGCACAGAACAGGCACCCAAGTTCTGTAAGATCATTCCCAAACACAAAGCAAACAAACAAACAAAATAAACAAAAAAACAGTAATTTCACAGCTTAAATAAATTAACTTCTGAATATTTATTCTCTATTTTTAAATATCTTTTAAAATATTTTTTACACCAGATATAGAAATTAAAAAGATCTACCCCCGAGAGTCATTTACTTTGGTCCTAATTAGCAGGGGCAAAAATTCAGGTCTCCCTTTCCCCCCCAAAGCTTGCAACAATATTTATGTGTAGAATGTTCCTGGCAATGGCCAGTTTATAAGAAAGCAAGAAAGTGCTTGTTTCAAAGTCAGTATTATGTCCTCCCCCTCCCCCAGCCTAACTTTTAAAATATTTTTTACACCAGATATGGAAATTAAAAAGATCTACCCCCCGAAAGTCATTTACTTTGGTCCTAATTAGCAGGGGCAAAAATTCAGGTCTCCCTTTCCCCCCCAAAGCTTGCAACAATATTTATGTGTAGAATGTTCCTGGCAATGGCCAGTTTATAAGAAAGCAAGAAAGTGCTTGTTTCAAAGTCAGTATTATGTCCTCCCCCTCCCCCAGCCTAGATTTCTTCCAAATTAAAAATAAAAAAACTGCTGGGACTAACTATTCTCTTTCAAGATAAGCACATTTGGTCTTTACACTGTATTTCATCCCTTTTAAATCTGCAGACAGAAAAGGTCATTGCTGTCTCCATTGGGGGGGGGGAGGCGTGTTAAATCGCTTTACTTAAAAAAACAACACACATAACTCGAAAACCCCTTGCCCAAACGTCCCCAAATCTGGCGCAGAGCAAGAGCAGGCTTTCTGCTACATCTGTGCCTCCTCATCTGGCGGCGACCTGAGGTCCAGTTTCAAAGTTATAATTCTTCGCCTGGGTGCCCGCATTATTTGAATTGTAGGCTTATGGCATGCTAATGGGCTCTGCTCCACACTATCTATCGCTGCCCCCCCCTCTTGCAGCATTGAGGCGGATGTCTCAGGCTTCCAGGAGAGCAAGAACTTCCTCACGAGGAGGGCGTTTCGGGTATGCAGCAAAAGTCTCAGCAGGCGGATTCCTGGGCGAGAGAAGAACGAAGGGGGGTCGAGGGGGGTGAGGTTTTCGCTCCAAATTTTCGCTCCAAAAGACGCACCAAGAGTGGGGGGCGGGAGGCCACCTGAGGAGAGGGTCGAGGCGGCTCTCCCTTAAGGGTCCCTCCGCCCCCCACNTCCCTTAAGGGTCCCTCCGCCCCCCACGGCACACGGGGGGGGGAAGAACCCTTGGTCCTTTCGTGGGTGTGTCGGGGAGAAGGGCCAGGCGCGCCCTTCCACCCCCGGGTGTGGGGGGGAGACACACCAGTCTCCTGACAGACTTCGGACTCGCGCGCCCTTCTCCTCTCTAGCGGAGCTCCGCCTTTTTCTCGCCCCCCCGCCGCCCCCCCGGCTGGTGAGGGAGGAGGGAGGGAGACGCGAACTCCCAGCAAGAGTTTCTCCGCCGAAGAAGTACTTGGCGAGCTCTCGGCGTCAGGAGCGGGGCTTTGAGGGGAGAAAGAGAGGCTGGAACGCGCCACGAGTTGAACCCGCGCTCTCTCCG